TTAAGGGAAACTGGCTCGTATCCACGTTACACATGGGGAAAACCATGAAAACGCCCATGCAGACAGCCCGTTCGCCCGGACTCGAACTCCGGATCGAACTACAAGTGTTCAGCGGCTTTAACCGCTCGGCCGCTGGTGAGCCAAATGGCCACGAAACCATTAGTCTTGATCTTGCTTCCCAGTACTTGAGAACAATTGAATTATAAGATAATAGTGCAGTGCATTCCTTATTATGGTCCTTATCCATGGACTGTCCAGAGGTACAAAGAATAGAAACTGAAGAGTCCTTAATTTTAAAAAGATGGGCATTCAAACAATAGCATGCGCGGTCAAAAGACGAAATAACGCCACGGCTACAAGACGAAAAAATTCTAACTGGCTTTGAACTAGTGAGACACTGCTTTCCCTTAACTTCATTTGATAGGTAGGAGGCAAACCTCCTCTTAAATTCTAATTTAATTAGCAGTTTTGCAGAATTTAAAAATCATATGGTTTATTTGTGGTTTGTAGACTAGTCGTTCCTTTCTTTGCCAGGAAATCGGCTCTTTCATTTCCCTCGATGCCACAATGAGCAGAAATCCACTGAAAGACAGTTGAGTCGGCAAGAGGGTTGACAATCTTTCTATAGTCGTAAATTCGTTCAGGAAGTGCAAACTTTATTATTGGAGATAGCCTGCAAAGCGGCTTTGCTGTCTAACAAAATAACAGCCCGAGAGAAAGTACTCTTCCGAGCGCTTAATTGATTCAAAGCAATAAATATAGTCTCAACTTCACCATCAAAGTTGGTAGTATCTATTCCCACTGCCTTATAGAATGCAAAATAGCTATAATAGATTCTTGCACCAGCATCAATACCTCGCTCAGTCATGGATCCATCGGTGTAAACATGGGTCCAGGATGTTACTGGGATATCTTCTCTCAGTAGTTTCATAAGCAATGGCTATGATCTGGGCAGTGGGCACCTCATTCTTATGAATTTTCTCGTGAAGTTCAATATATACATAGAAGTCACCGTATTCAAGAGAACACAAAGGCACAATCATTACATTCATTTCTCGAACAAAGTCTTCTGATAATTGATAATCAATTTGATTGAAAGCTATTTGTGTGTCTAAATTTCTATCATTGTTAAAATTGTAATTCCTTCAATATTTATTATTTGGGAGCCTGCAAAGTTTTCGAAACAAAATTGCATTTTTACGAATGTCATGCATGACAGGAGAAATGCTGGTTAACGCTTCCACAGCCGCTATAGGGGTGGATTTAACTGCACCTGTTATTAGGCAAAGAGTTTTGTAATCTTGCCAAAACGTCGACTGTACCGATGGAAGCAGTCAGTAAAATTTTATAACGGTGATAAAATAATGGTTGAATGTACATTATATATGTACGTTTTAAAGTTTCTCTGTTACAGCTCCATCGGTAGCCCGCCAGCCGTTTCAAAATTGGAAGTCTCCCTTTAGTTTTTTCCTTTATATAAGAAATATATTCATTCCAATTCAGATGTGAATCAAGTTTGTTTTTCATCCCAAAAACAGATAACGTTATTACTAACAGAGATTATATCACCACGATACGGAAGGTGGGATAAAAAGTGCTGCCTATTCAAGGTAAAAAAACTGGCAATTAATTTTGTCTAGGTTTAAAATCATGTTATTATTCCTGCACCTAAGATTAAATCTCCCAAGGACCCAACAGACGTTTTTTATAATTTAGATTTTTATGTTGTTACAAAACGTTAATGGAAGCTTTTGCTTTATTTATACTACAAAAGTTTTACCTAAGAGTATTTATTCACCTCTTTGTGCAGGGAAATGGAAATCAAACTCTATGCAATAAATAACATAAATATTTTACCATTCTCCATTATACAAAATGCAAGCACAACATAACATTACGTGTTTGCAACACAATTATAATAAAAATAATCGCGTGTTGCCACATCACTGAAACAAAATCATAGAAAACTTCGTTTATTTAACCCAGGACTTAATTTCTGAAGTTTGAAGTCCCAGAGACAGTAAATAAATAAAATAACCAAAAATTTAAATAACTAAGTAATTAAATTATAATTAAAAGAACTGTAAAGAGGTAAATAGAAATTCAATAAATTATTAAATTAATTATAACTAGTTAAATAACAAATAAATTATCGTACCTCGTCTTACTTGGGGCTCTACCATCTGGAATTACGATTCCCCTCAAAAGCTAAGAAATAGTTCACACAATCTCCATCTGAATTTAAGTACTGATTACGTGTATAAAGTATTATTTCAAGGGGTGATAGATACAAACACCATTCTTTTCTTCAGCACACCAATGAAAAATGATAAAACGTCAGAGAGGAGAATAGTAGGAATTCTAGAAACAATATATCGGTATATGGAAGGAAATTTTAGTGGAAAAGTGTAGCTTTAAAAATAGAGAGCTTAAGCTCTCTATTTTTAAAGCTACCCTTTTCCATCAGAAATCAAATAGCAATTTCATCATAATTCTGATCGCTATGCCCTGTCGATATAATTCTAGCCCGTCAAGCAAAAATTTTCCATGAATACGATCCGAAAACTACGTGAGAATAAACGTAAGACTTGCAGTGTTCGTCGCTTTCGGTTGTATTGTTCGAAAAGTCTACAGGAGCTCTGCAGTAGAAAGTCACTAGCGTGGCACTTGCACGACCTTTTAGCCTTTTCAGGAATGAAAAATTAACCCGCTCTCATAAATTCATTGCATTTTCAGGAAAATAAGCTTTTGGCATGTGAGTGGGGGGGTTCTTTCCTCAAAAAGTTCAACCTGTGCCCAAGGTTTGTATTCGAGGGAAAGACCAGGTTCGCGTTCAGAAGTTAGAATTGATTTTTAAAGCATATTTATTATTAAAAGGAAATTAGTTTGCTGAAATTGTGATTAGCTTATATAAAATAAATGCCGGAGCACTTTTGCTTAAAGCTGCGATGCGCTCCTGCTAAAATTAGAATTTATCTTAAAAACTGAGAAGTCTCGGAGCCGGGCTCCACTGGCCTCCGGCGCAATTTAAGCTCTGATTTAAGTAGAAATAAATTATTTTAAATATTTTAAGAATAATTATTTTTAGTGTTTCATGAATAAAAGCAACGTCCTCTTTCAGCTGGCAACAACACAGTAAATGTCCTATCAACACTTTTTGTAGTATATTATCGATATTTACTTGATAACACACTATTAACGCTTTCGGCAATTGGTATAGTCCCAATTGCGCGGATCATGGGGGGGGGTGAGAAGATACATTACTCAAGAATTACCAGCAACAGCAAAAATCGGCCTGTATTCTATTTCATTTATTTTTCTTTTTTTTTTATTTCTTTTTAATTTATATAATTTATCATCTAAAACGTTAAAAGGAGAAAGAGTTTTTAAAATTCCCTGTGTATATACGCACCACATAAATATTCATTTATTAGTCCAGAATGACTATTAGTCCCGAAACACGATTTTGCGTTCATTCACTTTAAATGTTGTCCATTGTTAATTCTTTGGTTCACTTTTCATTTGAGTCCGTTGCCATACGGCAAAATGTAAGAGATTTATCTTTTAATTTAATGTCTGTTATTAATTAACAAACTGGTGTATTTAAAAGCAACAGATGCAGTTCTTGAGAATATTTTTTAAATTTTTTATTTTGATTGATTCAAATAAAAATGAGTTTCATTCATGATGGAACTAATTAAAAACATTAAATAGTTTAATAGAATTACGTTACATATTTTTTAACTTTTCTAATATACAGCTGATATATAATGTTTTCATGTTAGTCTAAATGTATGTTCCTACAAACTGCTTTGCTGTTCCACCTGGGCCATTATCTCTTTTGATAAGCTACATTAAACTTTAAAAGATCTCTTTTGAGCAATCGTTAAAATCTGAACCCTTTCAGATTTTTTGTGAAAATTTGCATTACTGCTTATAGTAATCCATATTTTTTAATAAACTATATGATTTAACTTTATTTATTTATTTTTTAACTCTGCACTTTTTAATACTTCGCGAGTGATTTAACAATCCAGGATTTCAAATTATAAAACGAAATATTCTATAGAATTACAGTGTTTTTTTTTCCTATAAAATGTTCAGTTCTGAAATATATAAATGTAAGTATTTTAACAAATTTATGGAAAAAATATGAGTGAAAATTCGGGAAATAAGAAGCTATGTATTTAAAAATCCCTTATCGAATTCTTTAACATAATTGCTTGACCTCATTAAGAATTAAAATTTCTGTTACAAGATGGTCGCTCATGGCTTAAAATTCGTTTTAAGGGACATGAAACATTTTCACCTTCTAAACGAGTGGTGTGCAAAAAAATTGAGGAAAAATTGTTTTCGTGCAGAATTACATTTATACATTTACAATTAACATTTTATATCTTTTGAGCGCTTTTGTAACTAATATTTGGCAAATGACACCATGAGAAAAATTCTTAACAAGTATAAAGTATACAAACGAAAATTTATATCAGGGCTCAAGGATTGCACCGCATGCATTCAACTATTTGTGTAAATTAACGTAGAATATATTATAATGCTTCTCAGGTTTTCATAAAACTTTTTTTTTTACTCTGTTTGAAATTCAGAGAGTAATTCTTTACAATTCTAAGAAAAGAGTGGCTTCTTAGCTTTTTCTGTCTTTAACAGAAGTCACAGATTTGGCGACAAAAAACATTCAACATTTGGCGAGTTAACAATAAACCATTCTTCAATGGAGCAAACCTAAACGACAATGTTATTGGCCAATGGGAGCTGCGCGGGAAAGCCTAATGCCCCTCCATTCTGAAATCAGCAGATCTATCGTACACTCACTCATCGGAACATCGTGAAACTAGCAGTGGCTGTCGCAAGAACCAATTGCGGTGATTTAGTTGATAGCGGCCTGCAGGAAAATATTCTAGTCTTCGTGTAGCTCATTTGTGTCTAGAATACGCAATTCATTTACTGGTACAACTTCTTCAAGAGTCATTTATCGGAACGTTATGAGTCAAGCTGGAGTAGATACTTCTTATCAAGAAGATTTATTAAAGGCTGTACGTGATGGGGATGCCATTGAATTGCAGAAAATCCTTCAGAGATGGGAAGGATGTGTTAATATTAACTATTACGACAAGGAAGGCCAGACTGCCCTGCACTTGAGTTGTATGGATGGTAATTTAGAACTTGTAAAACTTTTAGTAAAATTTGGAGCAGATGTGCGGCTTGCAAATCGAGATGGTTGGAGTGCATTACATATTGCTGCCTATGGTGGTCATCAAGATATTGCTCTTTACTTAATAGCCAATTCATCAAGGAGGTAGCCCTAATTACTATCTAGCATATAAATTTTTAATACCTCCCAGTGTTTAAAATGCAATAGTTCATTTTGTACATATTGTATAGAGAAAATCTTGTATGTACAAAATACTCATCTGTTACATATTATTCTGAAACTAAACTTTTATTTATTGCTGAAGAAAGTTGTAATATATTTCTTCTGCTCATCAAGCTATGAAGGCAACGATTGTTTTTCAAACTTTACACTGCCTAGGACAAAAACCAAAGAATTGGCCGATATTTATTTAACTGGTGGTTCATCTTTTTCATGAAGAATGTGTGTCAATGTTTTCATTTACAAAACGAATCTTTTCCGATATAATTGTAGATGCTTTCGAGAATTATGTAAACATCTAGATAAGGAAATTAGCGAAAGCAGGGTATGTCTAATCCTTTTTATTCAATTGATTGTGGATAAAATTATGTAAAGTACTAAATTATTAATATTTTAAAATATGGAAATAATTTACATTTGTAAAGAAGCTGTAATACAGGTCCATAAAAATGTGTAATTTGTACCCAACTGCGTGTGACTTCATGTAAGTGGCAATATAGTACGAAATTTATTTTTAGAAGCACTACTTTAGTTTGAATTTTTGTAGGATCATTTAGTGCTGTAATGAATTTTCAGATGTAACTTAATATAGATAATAATTTTAAGAACATAAATTTTTTGTATAAAGTATAAAATTAAATCAGACATTTCTCAAATAATTGCATATTTTTTATCTGATACTTTCAGGTTTTCTATACATTAAACTATGAAAAACTAATATTATTGCATATGAAATGAATGACTTTTATAATTAATACCTCTATATAAATAAGTAGATGGAACTAGTTGCAGTTATTCTAATTTTTCCCTTTTTGATGTTCTCAGGTTAGATTAACTGTGATCAGATCAAACTGTAAATGATGGTCAGATTAAAATGCATCATAACATTCTTTGCCTCTAAAATTTTACTTATTCTATATTAATACATTTTTAGATGTTGTCAAATATGTACCCTGATGTATATGAAATGAAACTGGAACCAAGTATTTTTGCTTTGCACTGTTATGTTAGTTTAATAGATGTGTACAAAATCGTATTTTGAGATTTGCTTAAGTTCTGTGCTTTGTTTTTGTAATGATATAAAAAAAATCCTAATAGATATTTTAATGCAGTATTTAATATTTTTGTTTTTTAATTGAATTTGTAGTATATGGCATGATACATTAACTAATTTATTAATTTGATTCCATTGCATTCAACAGTGCAGTAAAACATTCTATAGGATTGATGGTAATCCTTTTCTCAGTTTTAAACAAAGCAAGGTGTAACAATTCCCCCCCCCCTCCCCTTGATATGAAATTTAGAAATTAAAAAGCTGATTCAAATATTTAGTCATGTATTGTAATTTATTTTGATACAAATGTAAAATTTGATATTGGTATAATCTTCACTGATTCAAAATATTTAGTCATGTATTGTAATTTATTTTGATACAAATGTAAAATTTGAAATCGGTATTGAATTTGTGTTTCTAATAGTTAAGATCTTAAAAATTGTTTCCAAGTGTCCTGAAAGAAATATCTGATTTAAGTCAGTACTTTTTTATTTTTATAATATGAATTTTTTAAATTTAATTGCCTAATCTTATTTAAAATTATAACATTCTTTCATACAAGTTTGAAATAAATTCTCATGTTAAGAATAATTTTCTTATTCATAAAGCATTGTTTTAATTAGTCATTTTGAACATTTTCACTATTTATGATTATAAGGTTATATTTTCACAAGTGTAAATGCATGCTGTAACAAATGGGAGACATTTTTGTAATACTGATGTTAATTTACAAATCTCTTCGGCACAGCTTTAGTATTAGTCCTTTTTGGCGAGAAATTTGTTTGGCGACATTTTGGAGCGATAAATGAAAAATTATGGTAACCTTGGTAACCCTAAATACTGAGCTTCAAAACATGCCGCCATTTCTGTCCACGTAACTTTAACGATTTGATAGGTATCAGAGCTTTGATGGCAGGAAAGATAATTGTGTGTTTTTCTTAAAGTACTTTTGTGTTAGGAAAGCACAACATTTAAATTTTTTTTTTAAAAGCCCAATTTTTGATAGTTAAACTGGTGCTTTTAATATTAATCACATGAGTCTTGACATTTTTCATATGTCAAACTCTGCATATTTTAATAAACTCCACCCCCCCCCCAAGGAAAAAAAACACATTTCAGTACCTGAGTAAACTCTTGGTGTTTCCTTTGCTAAGGAGATCAAAATTACCATGGTCTAAAAATACTTATTTACCTATATTAGAACTAAAGGGATGTGTAATTGCATGAATTCATAGGTTCAAATCAGACCAAAATCAGGTTTCATTATTGCTTTATAACATTTTCATAATTTGTCTAACTATAAAATGTATGTTGCTTAGATTATGGAATATATTGCTTATAATTTATTCGAGTTCTCAAATTTTGTAAATCTTACAACATAACAGCTGTATGTGAATACCTTCACTGAGTATTATTACTTTTATTAATAGTATGTTGACATAACAGTTGACTTTTTATTTTAAATTTTATGCAAATTTTCTACATTACTTAAACATTTTATCTAAACAGAAATCTGAATTTTTTGTAATAAAAACTGTATAATAAAAGTAAGAGTACAATTTATATATAAAAATTTGACTACATGGGAAGCACTTAGATACTGATTTCAATGTCTTTAAATGTTATTATCATAAAGTTTAGATATATTCTTATTAAGTTAAGCTATACTTTTATTCTATTATAAAGTTTAGATGTACAGAACAGAAGGCACACTTTGTGCTTACGACTCAATCAACCACTTGTGGCATGATAACAATTAAGTTCAAATGTAAAATTTAAAATTCAAATAAATTTGTAGCCCAAAGGCTGCACAAATCAATTTAATGCAAAGTTGGTTAAAAACTTAACTGGCATGGAATTCAACTATCAGCAATTATAATGCAAGGCTGAAGACTACAAATCTTTTCTTATCTAGCAACCTATTAATGTGGCCTCAAAAGGCAAAACACGGTTTGTTTTACAAAATAAAAACTTCATTTGGATTCTGGTGAGAAAACGGATGGAAGAAATTGACAGTAAAGATTCCAAGCATAAAATAACTCTGGTTACAAAATAAAGGAACGTTACAATATACTTTGTTCCCTGATTAATTATTCAGTACATGAAATAGTGTAATGCATTTTTGTATTTATTTAAATGCTTTCCAAAACTGACAGGATTTTGCAAACATATTGACCATTTTTTCGACCTATAGATGCAACACTTTTTCTCTTCAGAAGTAAGATTAGAATTAAGAAATAAGAAAATAAGAGAGAATTATAATAGAAAATAAATACATATGCTGGCTAGCAGAAGAAGGATGCCTTCATAAAGTACTTTTTAAGACAAACTGCTCAGATTCACATTACATCTACGGAAAACTACTAAAACTCCCATATAGCCAGCCTGAACTACCACTGTTCAGTGGCTATCACTCCACCACTAGTGGATCCAATGACTGTTCGAATTTTTCACAGAAATTATCATTTACGATGATTGTGTATTATTACCATTGGTACAAAATTTACTCATTATGATAATTTAATTTTAGCTTTTAAATTATAATCATAAATTACTTGTAATAAATTGAGGGATTAAAAAATACACACTTCTTAATATTTTTACCATTTACAAAATTTAATCATAAAAAATATTTCTAACACTAGTACAAAACTTGCCCATTATAATTGAATTTGATTTCCTTCAGTTTGAAATATTTTTTTATTTTCTTTTAATAACAGCATCTAAGAAACTAAAGTAACATATACTAGTTTGAAATGCATTTTTTAACCTTTTGTAAATTTCATTATTCATAAACATAAAAATTAACCTTTTGTAAATTTAAAATATTAGCTAAGTACTAATATATTAAAATATAAATATGAACTAACTACTTAAAATATTAATGTTTAATACATTATATTTTGTAATTAAAATATTAACATTTTGTAAATTTCATTACTCATAACATAATAATTGTCATAAATTCATTTACAGTAGTGTTCAAGAATTTATCATAGCAGTACTTGAAATATTGAAAATTAGAGAAAGACTGTTTATTCTGATTAAGAGCTTATTTTTTAGGATTGTTATTTATTCTAGATCGGGTTTTGTTGACAATCCGCCATTTTTTTCCGATCTTCAAAACCGGGTCTACCGTGGCGACCAAAGTTTGTCGCCAAATAAAAAAATCGCCAAAAGGACCAATACTAAAGCTGTTCCAAATCTTCATGATATTCAAGATTTTCAAAATTCTTTTGGGTTTTATGAATTACTAAGAAATTATGCTGTATTTAATTTTATTTTATATAAGAGGTTATACATATATGGTTCTGTGATATTAATTAATCTGATTTTAATCCATATTATCATATTTCACTATTATCTATTTGAATATATCTTATGTAGTCCAAACTGCAAGAATTAAAATATAATACGATATAATTATAACTGTGTTTACATATTAAATTCTTAATTTTAAAATAAGCCAATATTTTTGTTTTGTATGCATTTCCTCGGGTTATTTATGAAATGATTTTGTTTTCTGAGTTCCAGTTCAATGTTTAACTACCTCTTTTGAATTGGGAAATAATTGTATATAATATTTAGGTATTGCAAATGATTTTTTTCTCATATGCATACCTATCTGGTTATGTGCCATATCATTTGTTGTATGTTTTGTTACATTGCATAAGTCTTAACTATTTATTAAAAACCTTTTCCTAACAATGAAGTCTGTTGTGTGTGAATATTTCATAAAATTTTCGCAGTGGTAATTTTGATATTGAAAAAGGCTGAATGATAATTTAAAAGAAAATTTAGGTATTTTGCAATTTGATTACTCAATACAAGAAGCAATAGGTTTTATGTATTTAAACTGGAAACTTATAATGCTAATGTTTTTTTTTTTTTTTTTTTTTTTTTTTTTTTTTTTTTGTAAATAAAGTGGAGTTGGTCTATTCCTTGAATTTTAAATTTTATATTTGATAGAAATATAATACTTAAATATTTATTAGATAAATTTTGTATTATAATATAATATTAAATTTAATTCATATTTAAAAATTATCCATAATATATAAAATCTCTGTGTTTACTAGCTCTGAAAAACAATGCCAGTGATCTTAATGAAATTAATTTTAAATAATGATTTTAATATGTATATCTCAGTCACCCTTCAATAGTCCTATATTTGGTGAAAAAGCTTGGGCAAAATGATCTTGAAATTAGGTCTTGAAAAAGTTGAAAATTCTTACGCATTTGTGGAAGTCATTGTTTTGAATATAGTGTATAGTTAGGCAATGGAATTCCTGCTGATTTTTATATATACTTCTGTGTAATGTGTTTTTAAATCATTTTTAATTTCAGTCATCAGGAAAGACTAAATATTTAGCATAATATAAAGTAGCTTATATTAAATAGCATCTGTTAATAATAGATAAATGTTAATAGAACTTTCCGCACCAATTATTTCTGAACATAAGTTACAAACTTTTATGAAAGAAACTTATTTGAAAGGGGATAAAAATAAACTGAATTTTAATTTAATTGAAAAAGTCGTGATTTTTATATGTTGTTGATAAACCTGTTATTAGAAGAAAGTTATTAATTTAGTAATATATAATAATATATGTAATGTTTTCAGTTATTCCAACACATCGTGGGCGAATTACGACTGTCTTTTATACGTTATAACATTCTAACAAAGAAAGAGGAGCATAGCAGAGGAGTTAGCAAAACGAAGGCGAGAAGGCATCTGTGTAGGAGAACTTATGACGCAGCATTTATATGAAGAGGTTATGTAATAGGTGCGAATGTTCTAGAAGGTACTGGTTTAGGGGAAGATCCTGAATTGCAGAAAATTAATTAAAGGTTGCTGGTTTGCAAAGAGCAAAGCCATCATATTTTTTTATATCTTACATATATATATTACACAACAAATTTATAACTTAAGTCTGTAAAAGCCCTAGGGCTTTCTTTTAAATTTAGCTATTTTTACTTAGCCCCCCCCCAACATCTTAAAAACAGTGAAATACTTCTCAAGTGTATCATTTCAAAATTAGCACATTCATGTAATCACACAAGTGAAATAGAATTTTATCTAGCAATTATCAAACGGAAACTTTTATCAATCAATCAATTTGAAAAGAATAAGGGCCTGCAATTGAATGGCAGAATTTAGGCTGCAGAGACAGAATTAGAAAGGCAAAAATCTTAGTGTTGACCTTAAAAGTGACAGCGTGACTCCTAATTAAGAAACTAAGCAACTTCACCATTCTTAGTCTAATATCAGGAACATAATTTTACTTAATCTGCATAATAGTTAGTAAGAATTAGTCAGCAGTTTATCATCAGTTGTAATAATGAGAGTTTGTAAAACGAGCTTGAAAGCTGTAGAATAAAACACATTTGCTTGTTGTTATAATATTTTCAGGTATCTATGATTATTTAAAACTAAATTTTGCAACCAAGACTGATACACTGGCCTTCATGAAACAAAATGTGAAAATATATATTGTAATAGCTTGCTTGTTGTTGTTACTGATCAGACCAGATCCATTAGTCAAGAAGCCATGAAGAGAACCTATACCTGCTTAAGAGAAAAAGCTGGAGCAGCTTGTGCACTAATATTGATACACGAAACTCCTAATACGAAACTATAGAAGCTGGTAAAAAAACAACCCCCACATGAGATTTGTAATGCCATTTATGATGATCATGGGCAGGTTGCCCCTAATAATAAGGCTGCTGCTAATCTTTTGTGTCACCACTACCAAAAAATAAGTAAACTAATTTTTACGAGAGAAGATAAAATGTTGAATAATGGCCAGGTGCATTGTTCATGGTTGCTGAAATAAAATACATAAAGAGGGCATTTTCAATAGAGAGTTCACACTGGAAGAAATAGACGGTGCATTAAGAACAAACACTTATCTGTCTAAATCTCTTGGTATTGATTTATGGTAAAATAATATATAATCTTAGCCCTAGATGTAAAGAGTCTCTTGGAGATTTTTAATAAATCTTGGGAGCTAGATAGACTTCCTTAAGATTGGAAACACTCTCTCATTATACCAGTTAGAAAGTCTAATAAACCAGCCCGACAGTTTTAGACCTATTGCAAGTTTCACTTGTAAGCTAATGGAAAAAATTATTTTACACAGACTGACATTTTACTTGGATTCTAATTGTTTGTTGCTGAGAAAACAGTACGGTTTTAGGGAGGTATATTCTGCTGTCGATCAAATCATATTAGCTTAGAAGAGGTAAATAGAATATTGTAGAAATATTACTATGCAGTAAAATTGTGTCATTTGATATGCTGTGTAGGATAAAAATATGCATGAATTTATTTACTTGTTTAGTATTATTGAATACGGTTACGGTATTATTGAATACGGTTATGGATTACATAAATATGAGCACGTGTCTTTGAAGTTTTTCATAAATGCATTTCTTCAAAAATTTACAGCCCTTGAAAGTTGTGCTATAATTAACCAACTGACTAAATTTACTAACCAATATTCTTTTCCAGTTAATGTAATGGCAAGATTGAAGATAAAATGGAATCTTTTCCATTTCACAGCAATTTGGTAGAAAAATTTTCCTTAACATAAGAAATAAATCTCTTAGATTAGTTATTTCAATGATAAAGAATTAGAACTTTTTGTTTCTAATATTTAGTTTAAAAACAAGCACTTATCAAAGATAAAAACAACATGTTTAAATTAAAGGTGACCAAAAGGAAACTAGATTGTTTTTAAGTATGACTTCTGTGCGTGAATTTTATCTTAATAAGAATCGAATAAATTATAATTCTTAGTGTCATGTATGGGCAGAAATCTTTCTACAGAAAACTGTGTCATGCATGTTATCCTGTGACGAAAAGAGTTCCATAAAATATTTCTTAAGAATGTAGTTTTAATTTTTGATAGGATTGCATAGAAAATAATTCTGTCTGAAAAGGCAATGCATTACTGAATTTTGCAAGTAAAGCAGAAAAATAAAATCGCATTTATATTTTCTCTGTTTCTAGAATTTGTACTTTCGTTTTTAAAAGAATTAATGGAAAATTAAAAATTTTGGCTATAAATAGAAAATTGTAACTTCTAACCTATAAATTATGGGATTTTTAATTATTATTTATTTGTGAAAAAAAATCTAATTGTTATTTTATTTTCTACCATTTATTTATAATCATGTTTTCAAAAAGAATTTTATCCAATAATATATTATCCAATTTTTATCCATTAATATTGTTTTTCTTTCAACATTTATCATGAATTGAATGTTTTTTTACTTTTATCATTTTTATCTAAAATTTCTTTTCTCACAGAAAGTTGTTCTAATGAACGTACCATCAGTTGATACACTTACCACCAGCTTCAAGTTCCTGTATTTATTAATCCTGTATTTGTAAGTCTGAAGAAGAAACCATAACAAAAATCATTTTCAGTTAGGTGTGGTATGTTGCAACTAAAAATTTATGCAGATTTTTTTTTAAAAATATATTTTTTCATGTCTTTGGAATTATATTTATTCTTCTAAAGACGGTCGGGAAGTAGGAAACAAAATTACATTAAAAACTTTTAATGTTTTTTTTTTTTTTTTTTGGGTCCATATTATATGGAACAGTGGTTACCAGAGCCTAATTCAAAGAAAGGTTGGACTTCTATTTTCCACCCCCAATTTTGAGAGAGAGCACCCCGGGAGGATCCTTCCACCAATCCACATGAGAGGACTTTTTCGGTTCTCTGAATATTTAGAGTGGACATCCCGCACCGACACTATACATTTCCAAACATCTATGTCTTCTCCGAAATTCGAACCTGGGGCCTTCAGTACCGTAGTAGAACATAAGAACCCGGGCTCTTCCATACCTGTAGTCTGTAATGACATTTTTGTATCATATAAGATGTAATGTAGTATTTATTAATATATTGCACTGGCACAAGGATCACTGCAAACAGTAAAACAAAATATTGTATAAATTGGGACACATTTAAAATAATAAAATACTTTAAAAAACTATTATTTAAATATGCAAATTTTTTAAAATCTTAATTGTAATGATCATTTTCCTATTCAGTCAAACAACTTAAGTGAAAGATAAAAAAAATGAAATATCACAATAAATGAATTCTATCTCATTTTTCATTTAGATCTTTTTTGGTGAAATTATTTAATTAATTTACATTGCTTTTCAGAAATAATAAAAAATTCATTTTCTTTATTAGTAAATTATTACAAGTTAAAATGTTGTTATGTTCTGTCCCCATTTTTAGAAACAAAAGCATATTATAAGCAGTGCAGGATTTACGTATAACCTACACAAGCTATAGCTTAAGTGCCCGTACTTTATTGGGGGGCCCCAAAAAATTTAAATCTAGTATAAATATAATATTAAAATATAGTATAACAGACTTGTAAAGGGCCCCATAATCTCAAATAGCTTGGGGCTTATCAAGTCTAAATCCGGCTCGGGTTGTAAGCCTGAATATTATTTTCAAACACAGAGTAGGCATCCAGCTATAACTGGGATCGCTACCCGCCTAGATACTGGTTACCTTTTTTTCTGTTGGCAAAGTAACGTATTTATCGTTATATAAGAAAGGGAATTTTATTTATTTGTTCAACTTTTGTTGACAATATTTAATTTTATTTAAGAAAACTCAGGACACATATATTCATTCCCCCAGATCTGAAAATGGAAGTATTTATTTGCCTAAATGTTTTATATTCTGAAGAATTCGTAACTTAAGGGACTCGGATGTATATCGAATGATACGGTTGCAGTTTATATTGCGTGTGTAAAAACGCTAATTACTTGAGTCAAAATTAATATACGTAACATCTGTACATCCATAAAATGTTTAATATTAAAGTAGAAACGCTTGTTATGATTCTACAAGATGGTGAAATAAAACTTTAAGCGATCAACAACCTAATTGCTTTTCTATTTCTGTGTGAAAGCTGCGTATTTAGCAAATGATATACGATGATGTATGTAAAATTTGTTATACTTCATCGTATATTATTTTGTAAATGTTATTCAGTAAATGAGTATTGTATGCTCATTAGTCAGTAGTAAATTACTTTGCACCATAAATCTATAAATATGTCACACAGGATCATCTAAATGACGTTACTTAAAAAATACTATTTTATCTTCTTAGCCAATTTAATTAACTTGATTTTGCTGTTACTTTATTTAGATCAAATCTTGACCTTAACTTTTGACCTACTGATTCGATGTTGATGAACTTTCAGTCACACACGTGCTGTCAGATCCCGGAATGTTTAACGTTTAGAACTTTTTTTAATGTATAGCGTTGAATTTTTCTCGCGTATCCTTGTTTAGTAATTTAAATAATAACGCAGAATTTTGGTCTTTACATTCTGCCACAAAAGGGAAAGTAATCTTTCAAGTTTCTGGAATTTCTAGCATAAATTACCGAAGTTTGATAGTTTTCAAAAAAGTATTCGATTTTTTTTTTAGCTACCATGCAACTGCAAACATTACTATATGTTTACGAAAAAAGATCTAATCCTTGTTTTTTAGGTTTAAAATGATAAGATAAACTATTTTTTATCAAATAAAGTTTAAATGACCTCGGTAGAAATATACACCATGGAAGAGATCGAAAACTTTAGAAAAGGTAATGTGATAAGTGTTGCTTACCCTGTTATGCTATTAGATAGAATAATTTTTCTGCGTTCAGAGCCAGTGATTTTCTTTATTACTATACGCTTGAAAGTGTAAGATAAAATGTGTGAAAACAATTTTTAAATTACAGGATTTCCGTTATATTTACTAAAAAAATAAAATTGTGAAGCTGTTGTTCAAGAGTTTAGTGTAATATTAATAGAATTTCACTGGTAGTATAAAAATGACAGATAATGCAATAATTACATTCTTCTGCTTTAAGAGTATGTTCGGCAACTTTTATTTTAAGTCCGTCATTTTTAGGAAGCCTACAATTGTATTCTTGATCGCATACAAGAAAATGTTTCATTTAGCTTATAAGGTATTTCTCCCGCCTTCTTAGCGAGCCTTCGTTGTGTAGTGGTCTGCACGCTCAGCGCGTAATTGAGAGGTCCGCGGTTCGATTCCCGGCGAAGGCGTTGCTAATTTTTCATCTTGCCTGCTTCCAAAAAATACCTAATGTCTCAAGCTGAACTCGTGTAATTTGAGAAGTGCTTTTATAAATCTCACTTTGAATTATTTAAATTAACAAAAGAAATATTTAAATTCTTAAATAAATTAATATAAAGCTTAAATTTACTTCGCGTTGAAACGGATTCTGGATTTGCATTCTGTTGTAAAGTCATAATGAAAGGACGAGATTTTAAAGGCATGTAACTCTGTGCTTGACTCGGGCATTAAAATTTTGTCAGCTTTTCGTTTTTTTACATCTTCCCCAAATAATTAACGGTATGAAATTTATAATGATTGGTTAATTTCTAATTTCTTAAAATCAGAACTTACTTCGGACTATAAAATTTTATAAGGGAATGAAAAAAAAAGTATAAGCGTTCTATTGGTAAAATATGCTGCACCATTGTATTACTGAGAGAAAAAAGAAAAGATAGCTAATTTAATTTAATAAAAACACAACTAACTTATTGAAATGCAATGTATGAAAACATTTAGTGCACCCATGCACCGTGAATTTTTAACACTTAATAGCATGTCGCAATAGATAGTATAGTTGTAACGGTGTCTAACTGCTAATCCGAACTCATGGGAAACGAAGTCGAATCCCACTTAAGGTTTGTATTATGTTCTGCCTTCTTACTTGCGGTTTAAATATTAATGTACCTCCTGCGGTGCACCCTAGACAACGCTGGCGGTGATGAGGTGTTTAAATGACCGATGAATTCAACCATTTCGGACGAAGACTTAAGCAGAAATTGACCGGCCGTTAGATGAAAAAACATCAGATGAAATTCGAAGTAAAAAATTACCATTTTTTCGTAATTTTGATTCGTTTTTCACAAGTGCGACGTCTAAAACTGTTTGTTAGTTCAAGTTTTGAATATCAAGGAGTGTGTAATTAGGCCAGGATTGATGTTGTGGCCGTCGCCATTATGAATATAGTTTTTATTATAACTTTTCTTATAAATTATTATTTACATAACGTATTAAATGTTTATAATGAATAAAAAGAAATTTTTAAAAAAGCATGTATACATTTACTTTACATGTATAATTTCATTTCGGTTAGTGTGTAATTTTATGTGATAAATGCCCACAAATTGCCAATTAAGTTTTGCTGCCGAATACTGCTAATTCATTCCGGGTTCAGTTTCCGCAGAATGGACTGCCTGCATGGGGTTTTCTTACTTTGACATATATACAAGCCATATTCTTTTAGGAAGTCCTCAATGAAGATAATCCTAAGACAAATAGTCGTTACATGGTCTATCATAGTCATTGAACGGTAATGATATTTATGGAAGAAATAATTTTTAGTCCTAAATATTAATTTGGAACATAGTTATTTGATGAACGAATTCGATGATAATTTGGAGCTAAAATTAAATTTTAAGATTTAATTAGTTTAATTGCACTGATGCATAAAGCTTGCCTTAATTTTTAAGTTGATAACTGTAACAAATCTCTCAGCATTATTTTCATATTAAACCTCGCAAATTAACTTAAAGAAATATTTAGCCGCCAAATTAGCTGAGCGTAATTACTTATTAACAGTATACTTTTGATTAAATGTTTCTCCGAATATTGAATGAAATACTCAGACTCAGTAAACTTCATAATCCGCACTGTGCTTTAATGGGCATGGAACACCTTCCTAATTTTGTCTATTAAAAACATACATTGCGCTTATAAAGGTCAACATATTGTAGCTTTTGTATCTCTGACCATTGAAAAGACATACTGTTCCGTAATCTAAACAATGAAGTCCGAAGTAATAATAATAAAAAATAATTTATCAGACTGTCATGAACAGTGACGAATACAATACAGGCAAAAGTAAAAGGTTAAAATGTTGAAGGGATTCTATAATAGGACAATATAACCTCTGGCATCTGACCATCTTTCTCACCTCGTTCCCAGCGCTACACAATAGCTTATGCTTTGGCTCATTGCCAAGAAATTCCGTCATTCATTCGATCTGATATCTATTTCAATAACAAATGAAGGGGTTTTGTTTCTTTTCCTTAAGGAGAAACCTATGTGAAAGAACTATTTTCTCCAGATTCTTTTTTTTTTGCATTTTTATTTATTATTTGCATCTATTTTTTAATTACATGCGAAACTGCTGCGCATATAATTTTCTCTTCTTAATTTTTAAAGTAACTTCTTATTTTTATGCGGATTTTTTTTAATAAAGTTATTTATTTTTGAAATTCCATACCCTTATGATTGAATTTGCTTTACAGGCATAGGGAAAAAAAAAAAAAAAACCTGAAAGGTTTTAGATTTTAAATTACGTCTAAAGGGACGTTTTTTCAACGTTTTGTGTGTTGCCTTTATTTATTAAATATCATGTTCTTTGCACTTAAACCATGAAATTCAGTTCAATAGCAATGCCGCAAAATAAATTTAAAATGAGCATATCTTTTGAATTTTCGATACACAGTTCCGCAATGGAGATAAAAAGGTTTTTTTTTCCTCCGTAGAATGTTGCCATTGCTTGCTTTTAAATCGTTGAGTTTGTTTCTCAAAAATTCGTTAGTTTTACAAATATGAAATCGGTAATAAAACAAATTTCAAATTTGGTCTTCCACTTGCCCCTATTCGTAGGAGGATTACGTCATTCAAAATTCGATGGCTTTATGTACCGTTGTTTTATCACAATGCGAGAAACAGACTTACATTTATGCAGATTTTTATTATTTAATTTCTTCAAATATAATGCAAG